TCGAGCCCGTGGCTGCATTCCCGGCTGTGCCATGGTGCCCCGTCTGCGCAGTCGGGCGCTGCGGGATAATGTCACTTGTCACGTTCGTCTTGACGCCTGCGCATCCCTTTTGGTTGCTGTACCCAAGAGCCGAGGGGAAGCAGTCCCTGCTGCTGCTTTACCTGGTTGTGTCCATCCTGACTGCCCCATCCCACAAGACCTATCTTCGCTGCGAGGTTATTTATAAAAGGACAGAACCTCCTGTTAGACCCAGCTGTGTGATAAAATGGAAGATGCTTTCTCTTTTGGCAACCCTGACAAACTACAACTATCTACATTTATTTCAGTCTTTGTTAGGTATTTTATTTCCTTGAAGCTGTGCAGTGTTTCTCTTGACTCTAGTAGGCTACACTTAGTGAAACCATTTCCACGTTCAGGGTCGTGCTGTGGTCACTTGTCCCGTCGTATTAAAATTGCTCCCTTTTCTCCCAAGGATGAGTTCTTGCCCTCTCCTGAGATCCCAGTCAGGCCTTGCCTTGCCTAGCGGGCTGTCCCTCTGAATCCGTGCCAACCCGCTCCCTTTTTCAGCCTTCCTTTGAAAATGGCGTTTTGGTGCTTATCACTCAGCCAAAAAGGTCAGTGAAACACAGACACACCGCCAGGGTCCCGCCGGCGGTGTTCTGAGCACTGCACCATGTTTGGGTGTTCTCTGATACTCCCCACCCGTCTTTTTCCTTGAGCCTTGAGCTTTCACAACAGTCAGCGTTTCTGATTTTCTTCCCAAAGCCATATTTTAACACATGAAGAACAGTATTTAACCAGCTGGATAAGCTGAGAGGCTTTTTTGAACAGAATATATACATTCAACATGTCTCCCAAGTTGACTGTGGCATTTGCAGGGGGACACAGGAGCTCAGTCTTGATCTAATCAGATTTCCAACCATACCACCTTCAGAGCCATGTTGGCATGTTCGGGGGGGGACCACGTCTACCTTCTGCATCTGAAATGTTAGGACCTCTGTTCACATCTTGTTCAGATGTGAAGTTTGCAAGAGTTTTTGTGTAATTGCTTTATAGGTGAGAAGGAGCAACTTAACTACAGTCGGAGTTTATTTTTTGTGCAATATTGATGTATCTGCATCCTACTTTTTCTAAGTTTGTATTTGTGAGACTTCTGTTAGTAAAAGGACTACATTTATATATGTACACCTCTCATGTTCTCAAATGCTCTGTCTTGAAGTATACAGATAGTGCAAGGGCAGCTTCAAAGGATAACTTTGTAATTTATATTATAAAATGAGTAGCATAAAAATTGTAGGATAAAAAATATTTTTTTTAATACTGTTTAAAAGAAATGTCTGTAGGATATGAATGTACCCGAAATGAATAATTATCTCAAAGGACAAGTTACTTGAGTTTACTTTTTGTTTCTTGAAAAGTGGCATTGTTGTGTTGATGGTGGCTGAAATACATAAGCATTCTCCACTATACTCTCCAATGAAAAGCAAACACAATATAGTGGTACTAATAGTGTTCTTTAATCCTTCAAGTTCTATATGCAGTATTGGCTGTAATTGTGTTCAGACTTTGTACAAGACGGAAATTTCTTTGCAAACTCAAACTTGTAATCCTTTTGTGGAACGTATTAAAATTTGCTAAAAAACAGAAATAGCATTAGCTCCTTGAGAGTGTATGTGTAGCTAGCTGTAACAATTCCATTTATTCTGAAGAAAATGGAGGTGGTAAATGAGCATTTGCAAATGCTCTATAATTGAAATATAATTAATCATCCAAACCAGACTGCAACGCTGTTGTTTTGGGTCATATTCTTAATTGATGTTCTCCACAGCTGTAACTTTCTTTTCATTTCATTTACAGTTCATACCCTTTACTGTCATTTGCCTGTTTCTCTTCCCTGCATGGCTGCCTTTTTGTTTGTCTTCCTGTGTTATCTTTTTATAAATAAAGTACAAGTTATTGTACATTTTCTATCTGCTTGCTGAGTTTCCTTTATACATGCTAAATCCTCATTTTAAGCCGTTTTTCATACATTTACAGAAAATATTCAATACTTCATCCTGGATTTAGTCACATTTTGACAGTAATTGGTAGAAAACTGTTTCTTGAATCTGATAGACCAAAACAAACCAAAAGAACAGTTGGGAGAAAGCTTCTGCATGCCAGAGCACCAAGCATCCATCAGCTCTCCAAGGAAGTGGCATTTGTACTAGTACCATTTACACTTCTGTTGCAAAAAGAATATAATGCTGCATATTTCTAGTAAGGTTATTGTAGATTCATTAACAAAACAGTGGTTCTTCATAAAGGTGTAGTATCTGTTGGGCTTCGTGCAGCTTTGAGGTAGAAGGCACAAGGCTTTCCAGTGAGCAGGGAATGGGAACTGGTGTTGATGCATCCTGCTGCCAGATGGAGAGAGCTCATGAATGTCCTGGTTTCGACTAGAATGACAAGGGGCATTTAGCAGAGGGTTTTTAAATCTCTGTCCGCTGCAGGAACTTCCTTCTTGGACAAATGCAATAAAAGATATTTTTGCTTGAGTTAACTGCCACAGTCTCTCATACAGCAGGCTTTCAAAACATCAGATTTGTGTGCACGTGTATAACAGCTATGGGCTCTGATCCCTCAGGAAGTTACAGGTTAAGCATTTTCAGATTATTAAATTTGTTGCTCCTGAAAAGAAGATACAGAAAACAGGATGCCTTTTTTCTTATGTCTGACACAGATGTAGGTGAATACACGTTGACTGCTCAGCAGCTTGTAATTGTTCATAGCAATCTAATTTTATTAGAATAAACTACTTACTGTTGGAAAAGCACAGTTGTAGTATCCCTTCTAACTAACTTGAATGACCTACAGTGACAAAAGATAAAAGAAAACTAAAAGCAAAATGGCAAGAAGAGCACAGAGAAGACTGAGAAATTGACCCCTAGAAATGAGAATGAGTATGTTTAAATTTGCTTTGTCCTTACATGTAGAAAACATGAATCTGCTCAGTTCAAGTAGAGGACAGTTTTCACATGCTTATCATATAAGGGATAAGATCTGAAATAAATATCAAAGTGGACTTCTTCCCTAGACAGCCTTCAGGCCAAATTCACAAGGGTACTTTCAGTAAGTTCAATATCACCTCCCATTGCTTTAACTGTAAATAATACTGCTAAAAAAAACCCAAGTGTGTTTAATTGTTAGAGGAGTATGCAGAATAAAACCTTGATGAGGTGTAGTTTTGCACTGTAATTACCTAAAGATTTGCAGTGGAAGCCTCTTCTATTTATTTTGCTCTGCCTGCACACTAGTTTACCAGGTAGCGAGTTACGAAGTGATCATTTCTTACTGAGAATTGAGCCATGTTTTCAGGATACCTCTTAAGTTTTTGGGAAATGCATGATGCATTATGTCATATAAAAGATAGAACAGATCACTTAAAATACTAGATAATTTTTGAAATAAATTTTATTTTTTTAGAAAGGACCTACCTTATCACTGATTAGTGGTTGTGTCTTTTTTCTTTCTTTCCCTTCTCTTTGGCCTCCTTAAAATAAGTGTTGCATGTATTAGTTCTTTGAGACTGGTTCATAGCTTTTCAACACCAGAGTCGAGAGTTCCAGTAACAACTACTAGTTTGTCAGGGAGCATTTGCAGGTATAGAGACTCTGAAACCATCCTCTTAACCATTAGCTACTTGATAATCAGGTGTGAATAAAAACAACTTTGGGATGTTTCTGGTCAAGTTGCACTTGTCCAGAGACTTACTAGAACAGATATCGTACTATGTACAGCTCTTGACTGTTTCCTTAAGAATGATGTGCTCAAAATGGCATTATTGTAATAATCCCTATTTTGGCTTTTGTGAAAGTAAAATGTTTTGCAATATATATGAGCCCAAGTGAATCAGTGTATACACACTAATTGCCAATCTTCCTGTGAAATAGTGCGAAATACCACGTATTTAATACAGTTGTTCAAACTTAAGCTTCTGCCTTCCTGTTCTCAACCTGCTGAGTTTAAAATGCATATTTTTAATTCTTGTACCAGATTGGCTTCTGTTGTGGTTTAGCCCAGCCAGCAGCTAAGCTGTTATGCAGCTGCTCACTCATTTGGAGGGCCGACCTGCCTCCCCCCTTACTTCACTGCAGATCCTGCCTGGCTCAGCTTCCTTTGTCCCCTTCTTAAATTGGGCATTCGCAGAGGTGCTGATCGGCTCCGCCCTGGCCAGAGATTGGTCGGACTGGTTTTGAAGCTGGGGAAGCTTCTCACAGCTCCTTACAGAGGCTGTCTCTGCTGCCCCTCCCCTGGTACCAAACCCCCACCATGTGAACCCAGCACAGCTTCCTGCCCCCAGTGTGGCGTGGAGTGTTACGTTCTGTTTGTGTATTGTAGATATCCTTGAGTTCGTATGTGTTTGTCTGCTTACCCAATTATGATGTTACAACGCAGTGAATTTGGGCCTTGTTTTACTTGCTGTCTTTGGCTAGAGCTAAGGGTTTGGGGATTTTTGTGGGGAGTGGTGAGGGAGGTTTATTATTTGTTCATTTATTTGGCTGTAGAGAAGGTACTATAGAACGTTTGGATTCAGAGAACTCTGTGGTTTCCTTGTCTTCTATTTCTTTAAAACTAGGTTTAATTTTGCTGCTTGGAAGGAATTTGTCATGTCTCAAAATGAATATCCTCATTTGTTTCATAATCCCTTTAGCCCTAAACATTCTGACAAAATACACTGTTTATCAGAGAGAGAGGCTGTATGTTTCTTACTGCTAATTAACTAGCCTTCATTGAGAATAATGTGATTTATTTTATTTTTTTTCCCCTGCAGCAGCACAGGCTACAAGAGATAACAAACAGTATGTTTTGATCCTTGCTTATGACCTAGATTTCTTAGGTATTGGCATAGTATCTGTAATGATATCCATATACTTAGGAACAGTAATGGCATCTGCATCCTCAAGAACAATGACAGAAGAGATTATTTCTAAAATAAAAGCATTTGTTAGAATTCTAGACAAAGAGACATGGACCATGTAAACAATGAATAAACTCAACCCATCAGTCACTGTCAGCAATAGCAGTATTTTAATCAAATGATTCCTGCCACACCAGATCCAGTGAACTAACACTTCAGATGTTAGTTTAGATGCATCTATAGGAACTGATGCCAGCATGGCTTCACTTAGGGTGAATCATGCCCGACAAATTTAGTGGCCTTTTACAGTGGGGT